CCATGGCTGACCCGGACGAACCCACAGATCAATTTTCGTACCAATGAAATCAAGCTGGAGGGTGGATCCATCATCTGTCAACCGAGTGAAAGTGATGGCACGGACAAATCCAACCCACCGATCGAGACGTTCTTCATCTCAGGGAAGCAGGCTAGGCATGCAATGAGAGGTGGCGCAGAAGGAATCCTAGCGTATGTGACAGCAGATCCGGACGAGCCACAGACGGTGGATAGTCCGGGTAGGGAGGATCAGAAGGATTTCAAGGACCTGCTGAAGGAGTTCGGGGACGTCTTTCCCGATGAGCTTCCAAACAAGCTGCCACCCAGAAGCGGCGCAGATCACGAGATAAAAACGGAAGAAGGAGCTAAACCGCCATCTCGTGCAGCATATCGTTTACCAAAACCAGAGATGGATGAGCTTCAAGCTCAGCTCACCGAGCTGCTCCGTAGAGGATTCATCCAGCCCAGCAAATCCCCATACGGAGCCCCTGTGTTCTTCGTAAAGAAAGCGGATGGAACACTTCGAATGGTATGCGACTGGCGTGAGCTAAACCGCATAACCATTAAGAACAAGGCATGCCTACCGAATATTGACGACCTCTTTGATACCGTCCAAGGCAGTGCGTATTTCAACAAGCTAGATCTGAGGTCCGGTTACAATCAGATTCGAATAGAAGAAACAGATATTCCGAAGACAGCAATAAATACCCCATTCGGTCACTTTCAGTTCACAGTGATGGGTTTCGGCCTAACAAATGCCCCGGCAACATTCCAAACCTTGATGAACAGTGTCCTCCAGCCATACCTGCGTAAATTCGTTGTGGTGTTTCTAGACGATATCCTCATATTCAGCAAATCATGGGAGGAGCACCTCGATCATGTCAGAACCATCTTAAACGCCCTCAGGAGGAATGAGCTATAATTGCAAACCGTCTAAATGTGAATTCGGCCGGACAGACGTTCTGTTTCTTGGGCACCGGATAGACGGCCAATGCATTTCTCCAGATCCAGAGAAGATCAAGGCCGTGCATAACTGGCCTGTCCCGACGACGGTCACGCACGTAAGACAGTTTCTGGGATTCGCTAATTACTTTCGAAGGTTCATTAACCATTTCTCGGCCATCTCCAAACCCCTGGAGGAACTGACAGGGAAACATGTGCGCTTCGAGTGGAATCAGACTCGACAGGAGGCATTTGAGCGATTGAAGTCTGCTCTGCTGGATGCACCAGTGTTGCGACTAGCAAACGTCAGTCAGGATTTCCGCGTTGAGACTGACGCAAGTGACTTTGCTGTGGCAGGAGTCTTAACGCAGCTAGCAGAGGACCAGTCCTGGCATCCTGTGGCTTACGTGAGCCGAAAGCTGTCTTCTGCCGAACGGAATTACACGGCCGCCGAGCGAGAAACTTTGGCTGTAGTGTACGCCCTGCAGTGCTGGCGAGTCTACCTATTTCGCCACTTTCAACTCTACACCGACAACATGGGAGTTGTCTACCTCAGGACCAAACCAAACTTAACCAAGAGAGAGGCTCGATGGATTGAATTCCTGGCCGACTATGACTACACGGTACATCACAAACCAGGGAAGTGTAACATAGCAGACCCGTTGTCACGTCGACCAGACTTGGAACTGAATGGAATCGAGTTCTCTCTGGATGTGAATCAAGGAATTGCGAATCAGATCTCAGCAGGGTATGATAGTGACCCAGAGCTTTCGCCAGTAATCAAGCGCTTGATGGCTTGCAGCGAAGACGCCATGCATGAGCGATACGTCTGGAACAGTGTGGACCGGCGGCTGTACCTAGTAACATCGGGCGATGCTCGCCTCTGCATTCCTCGCGGTCCGGTACGGCTGCAACTGCTCAAACAGAATCATGATTGCCTGACGGCCGGCCATCCGGGGAGAGACAGGACCTACCTGAAGCTGAGCAGATACTTCTATTGGCCAGGCATGAGAAGTACTGTGAAGGACTTCGTTAAATCTTGCGACCGGTGCCAACGCGTAAAGGGTAGCCAGACCAAGGCAGGACTGTTGCAGTCCCTTCCAGTCCCCGAACAGCCCTGGACAGACATCAGCATGGATTTCATCATGGCACTGCCGCTGACCTGCCGAGGACATAGCGCCATTCTAACCTTTGTGGACCGTCTGACGAAGTATGTGCACCTGATCCCGACGACTGTTCATGTTGACTCTAAGGAGGCAGCCCGATTGTACGTGGATCATGTGTTTGCTGCCCATGGCTTGAGCAAAACGATAGTTTGTGATCGAGATCCGCGATTCACGTCGGCGTTCTTCAAGGAGGTTTTCAGTATTCTTGGCGTGGAGCTAAAAATGAGCACGGCCAACCACCCGCAGACCGATGGCATGACTGAGCGTGTGAACCGTGTCATTGAGGATACGCTAAGAGCTTTCGTCAACCATAGGCAAAACAATTGGGATGAACTCCTATCGCTATGTGAGTTTGCGATCAACAATGCCGATCAAGCGTCAACAGGTAACACGCCATTTTTCCTCAACCATGGATGCCATCCAGTTACTCCCTCGAGCTTATTGACGAAGCAGAAAGCTGGAGCTGGCATGGACACGAATGGTCCGCTGTCATGGCTGGATGGCCGCGTAGAGGCACTACGTGAGGCACAGGATGCCATCGTGGCGGCGCAGGCCCGGCAATCATTGTATGCGGATCGAGGACGGGTGGAGGACGCCCTGAAGGAGGGGGATGAGGTGTTGGTCTTCAGGGACTTCCTGCTGACGCCCGAGGAACGAGACAGGCCTTCACACAAATTAAGGCTCAAGTGGTATGGGCAGTTCAAGGTGCAGAAGAAAGTGGCCCCGAATGCGTACAGATTAGCTCTTCCAAGAATCATTCGGGCCCATCCAGTGTTCAATATTGCTGCCCTCAAGCTGTACCATGGCAATGAGATACCGGGCCGTACTCAGCCGGCACCTCCACCCCTAACCGATGCGGATGGCCATACGCGGTACATTGTCGAAAAGGTGTTGTCGCACAAGAAGAGAGGACGGCGCACGCAGTACCTAGTGAAATGGAAGGGCTACCGAGATGCCACCTGGGAGCCGGAGGAATACTTGATGGATGAAGCAGGAAACGCTATTATTCCGCTGAAAACCTACCTGGACCGTTTTTCATAAAATTGCTATTTAATTGGCAGCCACAGTTGTATTGCTAGTTTCTACGTGTTGCAATAGAAATGTACCATTCTGCATGATTAGGATAGTGCTTCCCTGCCAGCCAGGCGTTATTTGCAGAGGACATGCACTGGATCTTGAGTTCATCAGTGTTGTTTTCGGCTACCATGCATTCCACATATCCATGCATGATCATTAGTTACCATAACTGTTCCTTCGAATTGGTACTGTTCTGACAGTTGAGAGGGGGGAATGGTGTAACAGATTCACTGTTACTACTAACACTAGGAATAGGATACACTTATCACCTGCTATTATCACGCTGCTGCTGTTAGGTGTTATGTCCATCATTGCTTGTTCATGTTTATAAGAATGCATTATGGCAAGGATCATTGATTATTCCAAGAATGACTACTGAAGTTAGTTGGCCTGTTACACGTCTTGTCGTGCACGCGCAGACGTCCAGCACACACGCGTGTCGAAATGTGTTTTTTGGCGGGTAGTCGGCAAAAAATTAAGTGAGGGTCCCTTTAGTCCTTCGCAAGCGGAAGTTCCGCTTCAGCGGAAACTCCAATCCGCTTCCTCCAAAATTTTCGAAGCGAGACTGTCGCTTCTGCGGATTCGCTTCAGCGGAAAACACCACGGTCTACTGTATACATGTATGTATATGGTAGTCATAGCCCAAATTTGCTAGCAATTCTTTGAGCAAAATATCGGATGCGCAAGTTTCCGGCAAGTTTTGAGCAAAATATCGAGTTTCGGTGGGCTTTTCGAAAAATCCAAGGCTTCTTAGGGACTTCCTCAACACAATCAGTCACCAAAGTTGAAAACAAGCACAAAAGTTGTAGAAAACAGACTCATGGCTACATTTCAGTGGAAAGTTGAGCAGCAGCAGGAGCTCAATCAAACATATCGTCGTCATCAGCGACAATTATCGTTGAGTTTTCCCTAAAACTCATTTCATCTCGAGCAAAACCAAAGCAAAATATCGACGGAGAAAGGAAATGCCAAGCAGAATATCGAAATATGTGTGGCAAAATTGTGCGGCAAAATATCGATGTAGGCCGAGCAAATTTGGGCCATGACTAGTATATGGACTTGCTACGAGAAATTTGTATGCGTATGATGTCCATGCAACGAAAACGCGTGATTGTCATTGACCGTGTATTCTCCGTACCGTATGCACCACAGTCTCATTTTCCGCCAAAGTAGGAGTTGTGCCCTGTTTGTATGTGTGACCATACACACTTGGTCTTTGTGGTCCACTTCACAACAATAACACACACAGAAGTCTCTGCTGTGAGCACGGTGGCTCGGCAATGGGCTGCTGTGAGCACGGTGGCTCGGCAATGGCTTTATTATTGATATTATTATATCTCCTTCCTGATATATATTTTTTTTCTTTTTTCTTTTTTGAATAATTGTACGCATAGGGCCTGATATCATAAGAAAATTTAGCACAAGACACTGCTGCTACTTTGTCGCACAGCAAAACACACAGAAAACGACAAAAGTTACAATGAATGTAACAACACCCGTCCAAGCTAAAGGACCGACATCCCTGCCCCAGGACGGCATCTCGAACCCCCCACACACTCACCACACGGTCATCATCCAGCTTCAGTTCAATCACTGTATTCTTCCCCTGCAGACTCAACCCCCCTGTCACTAGCCATACAATCTGAAGCTGTATGTAACCATACAATGGCCCACGACGCACACACCACCCCTACGTTTTTTAACTAAAAAAGAAAAGCAGTCGTACCTGCAACAGCCACATGGCCAATAAGAAAAACCAATACGATAATATATCGATAAACACACACCCAGAAGTCAGGGGTGGGAGGGTGGGATACAAACTGCACCAACGAAAAGCCACTGCGAAGTGACAGGAATGCGGTCCAGCACAACATATTTGCGGACGCAAAAAGTTGTGGGGAAATCCCAAAATCGGTGCGGTTTTGCATGAGCCCAAATGTTCAGGTTACCCACAAAGACACAAGCTTTCCAACTCTCTTTGGCCGTTGGAAAGCGTACCGTCTTTGTGGTCCACTTCACAACAATAACACACACAGAAGTCTCTACTGTGAGCACGGTGGCTCGGCAATGGCGACAGAAAAGGATAGCCCTGGGTACATGCCTTGCCATATACTCTGTGTTACCTGTCAAATTGTGTCATCCGATTCGGCTGCATAGCGCTTGCATAGATTCCCAATATTTGCCAATACGAGGTTTGGATTCGTCCAGTAAGGCAGACTGCACTATCCATGTTCCTGAACAACACTCTCATTAACATCCTACTCGCGCAGCATCTATAGAAAACAGCTCTCGGCCCTGGTATACGTCATAGAGATGTAAAGGCCATGGTAAATGCCAAGCAGGTGTCTCGCCGTACAATGGCTGGCCCAGCTGCTGATGTGATCATGCCAAAACGTCTGTATATAGGCCACAGTCCATACTGTACGGTCAGGGCATTGACTCGGTAGGTACCAAATGGCCCCCCTGAACCCAGGCATCTTCGTGCTCTTCAGACCACTGCGATAGCCACACAACTGAGCGCAAGATTAAGACAAGATATGTCACTTCCGTGCCCAACGCCTCCACCTGTGGAAACATACAAGTCACAGAAGCGAAGCACAAACACAACACACAACTGCAGGCCAAAGAGGTACTGTACTGTATTTCTCACTAATTCCCCGACGGTACTCACACCCATCAAACTGTGCCACTTTGGCAATATTTCTCTCACTCGTTTCCCGAAGGCATTCACACCCATGAGACTGCGGCATCAGCTCTCTCTTCCTCTCTCTCTTTCTCTCTCTCTCTCTCTCTCTCTCTCTCTCTCTCTCTCTCTCTCCTTCTCTCTCTCATTACCCGAAGGCATTCACACACACCAAACTGTGCCACTGCAGCATTAGCTCTCTCTCTCTCTCTCATTACCCGAAGGCATTCACACAGACCAAACTGTGCCACTGTGGCATTAGCTCTCTCTCTCTCTCTCTCTCTCTCTCTCTCTCTCTCTCTCTCTCTCTCTCTCTCTCTCTATCTCTCTCTCTCTCTCTCTCTCTCTCTCTCATTGCCCGAAGGCATTCACACCCACCAAACTGTGCCACTGCGGCGTTAGTTCTCTCTCTCTCATTGCCCGAAAGCATTCACACCCACCAAACCGTGCCACTTCGGCAATATCTCGGTGCCACTGCGGCATTAGCTCTCTCTCTCTCTCTCTCTCACTCATTGCCCGAAGGCATTCACACCCACCAAACCGTGCCACTGCGGCATTAGTTCTCTCTCTCTCATCGCCCGAAGACATTCACACCCACCAAACTGTGCCACTTCGGCAATATCTCGGTGCCACCGCGGTATTAGTTCTCTCTCTCTCATTGCCCGAAAGCATTCACACCCACCAAAACTGTGCCACTTCGGCAATATCTCCGTGCCACCGCAGCATTAGCTCTCTCTCACTCATAGCCCGAAGGCATTCACACCCACCAAACTGTGCCACTTCGGCAATATCTCGGTGCCACCGCGGCATTAGTTCTCTCTCTCTCATTGCCCGAAAGCATTCACACCCACCAAAACTGTGCCACTTCGGCAATATCTCTGTGCCACCGCGGCATTAGCTCTCTCTCTCTCTCACTCATTGCCCGAAGGCATTCACACCCACCAAACCGTGCCACTGCGGCATTAGGTCTCTCTCGCTCATAGCCCGAAGGCATTCACACCCACCAAACTGTGCCACTTCGGCAATATCTCCGTGCCACCGCGGCATTAGCTCTCTCTCTCACTCATTGCCCGAAGGCATTCACACCCACCAAACTGTGCCACCGCGGCATTAGTTCTCTCTCTCTCTCTCTCATTGCCCGAAGGCATTCACACCCACCAAACTGTGCCACTGCGGCATTAGCTCTCTCTCTCTCTCTCTCATTGCCCGAAGACATTCACACCCACGAAATTGTGCCACTGTGGCATTAGCTCTCTCTCTCTCTCTCTTCATTGCCCGAAGGCATTCGCACCCTTCACACTTCTGAGCCGCACTGGGGCTCTCTTACACTTCACTGACAAGGGCAAAGTAAGAATAGGATACCAGATATACGGTAATCGGCTACACAACTATTTCACACTTTTCGGTGTTTGTCTCCTTCATGCTCGTTACTCCTTATTCATGCTTCCGCAGGTACCCTTGTCTCATTCATGCTCGTTATTCCTTATTCATGCTTTCGTAGGTACCCAACTATTTCACACTTTTTGGTGTTTGTCTCATTCATGCTCGTTATTCATTATTCATGCTTCCGCAGGTACCCTTGTCTCATTCATGCTCGTTATTCCTTATTCATGCTTTCGTAGGTACCCAACTATTTCACACTTTTTGGTGTTTGTCTCATTCATGCTCGTATTCATTATTCATGCTTCCGCAGGTACCCTTGTCTCATTCATGCTCGTTATTCCTTATTCATGCTTTCGTAGTTACCCATATACCTTATAATGGATTCTGTTTTTCATGTCCATGGATCATAGTGATGTTTCATCACTGGTTTAGCGGCAAAGCACCGAGAATTATGAGTAAATACATCCCTTGCACACAAATTGCATGACCTACCAGGCCCATACATTATACTCATCCGCTTGTAAGAAGCTCGTTGCATGGCCTGACCACTCATTCAATGCAAAATGAATACCTTAAGCCCAAAACAGACATTGTTTATCATCATGTACACTTGCCTGATGGATAATTCAGCCCAGGTGGTATCTGAGGGGATTTATATGCCCTCGGCACAGGTGTGGCTGTAAAGCATCTCACTTGTCAGATTGCCGCTGTGGGCGATTCCAGCTTTTTCTTGGTGGCTGCCAAGAACTCGGCTAGCCTCCTCTGCTGCAATACCGCTACTGAGAATAGGAGGCGGCCACATTAAATCCATCCACTTCCGTGCCACTCAAATATTGCAGCATCTCTGCCATCATGGTTTGATCATTCTCCACGGCCTCCAGACTTAGATTGACGCCGGCTCTCACACTACGCTCGAACATCTTGCTGCTTGTGCAGAAGTTGCTTGCTGAGCGGTCGGGGTGTTGCCGCTACTTACTGGAACCCCGGAATTTTTTGTGAAAATCTCTCCACTCATTCACGCGGCCAAAGAGCCCATGCAGGGGCAGCACTGTGAGGTACGTCCATTATTACCGTGATGTGAGATAACTCGCTGGCTAGTTGCAGCTGGAAACATGCGCAACTGAATGCAATACGCGACATACGGGTACCGACCGACCGACAAAGCTGGCATATACGGATGACCACCAGCAGGAAAATTAGTGGCTGACTGGCTGTGAAGGGCGAATATGGGTGCCCAGCAACATACTGCATTGTGAACAATGTACGAGTGATTACTTATACATGGTCGATGGTTTTACATGTTGACTGACAAACAGCAACATTCACCAGGCCTGCAGCAGATGCCACAATGGTTGGCTGACCAGCTGCACTGGACGAATCATTTGGCAGATTCTCCGCAGATAATACTGTATGTGACGGACTAGAAGTAGTAGCAATGGCCAAATTTGGCATATTCGCAGCAGATGACACTGGATTTGGCTGATAAGACGCAGCAACAAAGTTGGCTGGACAGCATCAATGGACAAACTTGGCAGCCTAGCCCCGCTGTAGATCACACTATTATTTGGATGAACACTCGCAGCAGGCCGGCCGTACGTAACAATGACATGCTTGGACGGCAGTTGACGTCCAGGGATCTAGCTGTTCAGCAGCAGAGGTAAAAACGGCCGAAGCTGAAGAAAAACTAACCTGCCTACGCCCCGGCAGGGTGAATATTTGACTTGCCAACATAAAACAGCCAAGAAATCGTTCAATCACGTCTTCCCTCTGACCACCAGCATCGATTTTCTTTCCTGCTGTAAAGCTACAGTTGAAGCCCTGTTCTCGTCGAAAGAGCACTCTTCCATGATCATGTTAGACCCAAAATGTCATAGAACTCCAAAATACAAACTGCACCAACGAAAAGCCACTGCGAAGTGACAGGAATGCGGTCCAGCACAACATTTTTGCGGACGCAAAAAGTTGTGGGGAAATCCCAAAATCGGTGCGATTTTGCATGAGCCCAAATGTTCAGGTTACCCACAAAGACACAAGCTTTCCAACTCTCTTTGGCCGTTGGAAAGCGTACCGTTTCGCTGGAGCGACACCAGGCTCGCTGCCGCCGAACCTCGTCGCCGAAGCGAATCCCAGTGCATGTGTGACCGAGCCCTAAAGCTAAGAACGGCGATGTTGGTTTTCTGGCAGCTTGTGGAATACATATGATCCAGTACGGATTGTTCCTAAGAACGTGCTATAAGAACGCAGCCAGATTGCAGAAAAAATAAGAACGTTCCAGGCTAACCCCTTGGAAACAACGTTCTTGGGCGCGCGACTCTACTGTACGTTCCAGACCAAGCCGTGAATCGCCCTCGCTCTGACTCGTCCGGACTAGTAATGACTGTACTTCTGATCCACCCTCCCAAAAAAGAAAGAAAAAAAGTATAATATAAACCACGTTTATAAATTTATAAAAGCACGTTTTCGGCGGGAAAACGAAAAAACCGGATCTCCATCAATCGAACCTATCCCATCCTAGGATGGGCACCCCCTCCACCCATCCTAAGATGGGCACCTGCCCATTTTAGGATGGGCAGAATCGACGGACGGGCCGGAACAGATGCAGCACAGAGTAGGGGAGCATCATACATGGACAGGGCAGTCCATAAGAGTACAGTCATGCATAAATACGGTAGTGCATACATAACAGTCTGTACGTGTACAGGGGGTGTGTGTGTCCCATATGGTGCAGTGGTATGTGCAGTCGATTTCCAATCGAGAGGTTGCGGGTTCAATGGACCGTATGCGTGTTAAAACAAAATGGCGTCACGATTTATTGAAAGCAGGGAGTCGTAAAAGTATTTTACGACTCCCTGATTGAAAGTGGTATACAGTCAGATCTCGCTTATCCGGTCCTCCTTTATCCGGATCCCTCGCCATCCGGAAGAAAATAGCTGGTTACGGATTTACAACATACGCATTGCATCCAACATAACTGGTGTTTGGTTATCCGGTTCCCTTGCCTATCCGGATATTTTTGTGGAAAACGGATGTGTGCGGTTAAGCGAGGTCTGACTGTAGTTGGTGGTACGAGTGTTCAAACCCATTTGAACTTCATACTGTTCGTCTTCTTTTTGACATGCTCTCTTTCCATCGTCCTTAGCTTTTGTTTGTTGAGAGCTGTTTTGGCTTTATCCTATACCTCTGGGGGATGCTAAGTGATGGTTTTGAGAGGCTGGTGATGGCTGTGAGCGAGAGTTTGCCGATCGGCGTCGTCCTCGCTATAGCGATGAAAATACTAGTTACTGCGCACCTGGCAGATATCACAACACGTCGGAGCGTCCAGGAGCAAAGGAATCTTGGGTTTTCACTGGAATCTAGTTCCTCCAGCATCGTGTAGCCCACCGTCGGTGAATGGCCGTCCAGAAAGGTCGAACCTGGTCTTCGCAGTCCTGCGAGGCACACTGAATACGCCTGTCATGTATTCTACAAATAAAAATCACGAAGTAGTGGACTTTATAGT